GAAGTCGGTTCTCAGTCCGGTCTCAGGATGGTCTCAGTCTGGTCTCAGTCCGGCCTCAGTCCGGTCTCAGTCTCGTCTCAGTCCGGTCTCAGTCCGGTCTCAGTGTGGTCTCAGTGTGGTCTCAGTGTGGTCTCAGTGTGGTCTCAGTGTGGTCTCAGTGTGGTCTCAGTCCGGTCTCAGTCTGGTCTCAGTCCGGTCTCAGTCCGGCCTCAGTATGGTCTCAGTCCGGCCTCAGTCTGGTCTCAGTCTGGTCTCAGTGTGGTCTCAGTCCGGTCTCAGTCCGGTCTCAGTCTGGTCTCAGTCCGGTCTCAGTCTGGTCTCAGTCCGGTCTCAGTCCGGTCTCAGTCTGGTCTCAGTCTGGTCTCAGTCTGGTCTCAGTCTGGTCTCAGTCTGGTCTCAGTCTGGTCTCAGTCTGGTCTCAGTCTGGTCTCAGTCTGGTCTCAGTCTGGTCTCAGTCTGGTCTCAGTCTGGTCTCAGTCTGGTCTCAGTCTGGTCTCAGTCCGGTCTCAGTCCGGTCTCAGTCCGGTCTCAGTCCGGTCTCAGTCTGGTCTCAGTCTGGTCTCAGTCTGGTCTCAGTCTGGTCTCAGTCCGGTCTCAGTCCGGTCTCAGTCTGGTCTCAGTCCGGTCTCAGTCCGGTCTCAGTCTGGTCTCAGTCCGGTCTCAGTCCGGTCTCAGTCCGGTCTCAGTCCGGTCTCAGTCCGGTCTCAGTCCGGTCTCAGTCCGGTCTCAGTCCGGTCTCAGTCCGGTCTCAGTCCGGTCTCAGTCCGGTCTCAGTCCGGTCTCAGTCCGGTCTCAGTCCGGTCTCAGTCCGGTCTCAGTCCGGTCTCAGTCCGGTCTCAGTCCGGTCTCAGTCCGGTCTCAGTCCGGTCTCAGTCTGGTCTCAGTCTGGTCTCAGTCTGGTCTCAGTGTGGTCTCAGTGTGGTCTCAGTGTGGTCTCAGTGTGGTCTCAGTCTGGTCTCAGTGTGGTCTCAGTGTGGTCTCAGTCTTGTCTCAGTCCGGTCTCAGTCCGGTCTCAGTCCGGTCTCAGTCCGGTCTCAGTCCGGCCTCAGTCTGGCCTCAGTCCGGTCTCAGTCTGGCCAGTCCGGCCTCAGTCCGGTCTCAGTCTGGTCTCAGTCTGGTCTCAGTCTGGCCTCAGTCTGGCCTCAGTCCGGTCTCAGTCCGGTCTCAATCTGGTCTCAGTCTGGTCTCAGTGTGGGGGTAGGCTGGTGGGGGCCCTGGGTTAGAGGTTAAAGGTTTATTCAGCCTGTTGTCACTGATATAAGCGGGGTGGACAAAATAACAGAAACACTTGTGCATCCTGAAACAGATGAAACAGGCTGAACATTAGAACGTCTCTGGAGGTCACTTGGGTCTATCACATGACTCTAGAAGAACACTAAAGAGTTTCAGCTGCTCTCAGATCAGTCACCTGTTACCTGTTTCTCACCTGAACTCTCTCTCCCCAGTGACTGTGACTGCTGTGCTGTTTCTGTCTCTACCCTCAGCTCTCTCTCTCTCTCTCTCTCTCTCTCTCTGTGGCTCTCCCTCTCTGTCTCAGTCTCATGACCCCCACCCCCCACCCACACAGAGGGCTCTTTATTTCCCTCCATCACTGAGCTCTTTATTTATTGATCAGCTGATCACTGACTGTCACCAGATCACTGAACCTGTTGTAAACCTTTTACACTGAGTGTGTGTCAGCTCAGTCATCAATACAGAGACTGATTATTTATTTATATGAATATAAATATAACAGTGTTTTCTTGGGTTCTGGTTCATGATGTTGGTTGAAGTCTCTGTGAACATGTTGTGCATTAAACTGGACCAGGAACCTGTAACAAAGCTGCAGTCACACAGATGTTTGGTGGAAACATGTCAGTGAACATTTTACTGACTCGTTCAGTCTCGACATTTAGAGATTTGTGGAATATGGAAATGAACAACATTTCCTCGATGCATTGAATCCAGTCGGCTTTATGTTTATAGAAGGAGAACTTCTGTCAGAGATGACAACACTTGATCAGGTTTCAGGAAACAACACAACGTGAATTATGCTTTTAGTTTTAAGTTTTTATGTCCACAGGCTCTTTAAGCTTCTTATCACACAGATGTTTTCTGATGCAGCTGTTCTTAGAGCCTGAGGAACATGAAGCGTAAAGTGACTGCAGTGTCAGATAACACACACACACGCACACACAACACACACAACACGCACCGCACGACGCACGCACGCCAACGGCACACACACACACACACACACACACACACACACACACAGCGACACACACTTACTGATTGCTGCTTACTGTTTCCAGGACTTTTCAAAAGCTGCAGAGCTGCAGGATTTAACTTGTTGCTTTTTAAAGAATTTGTGGATAAATTATTTTAAATAAATCTAGAGACAGAAACAGAAAATTAAAACGAACTGGAAACTGTTTCTTTAAAGAAAAAAAAACATCTGCTGGTTTCAGTTTCTGCTGCTTTTCTGTGAACTGAAGTTTGAACAACTGGCTGGAAATAA